AAGGCAATTTGGAAACATGTCCTTACATTTGCTCAGACCTTCTAATGTTCTGTCAGAGTTTAGAGCCACGGCTATGCATTTGCTGCTGGCGATGAGGCAGGCTTACACTAGTAATGGTGGGGGTTTCGGAGCTTCCTGAGCAGGGGAGATGAGTGCTGCACTTGCACTCTCTGGGACAGGTCACCCACAGATGCCATGGAGGTGTCATTCGGTAGTCACAACCTTAGGGCGCAGAAATGGTTACTGTGTTCAGAGAGGTGACGATATGTGCTCACATCTGCACAGCTGGTCAGAGTAGGACTTGTGTGTCGCTTGTATTTGACGGGAGCCAGTGTGACCTTGGTTTACCTGTGTCATAGATAACTTCAAGCTGAAGTCTGTCAGAGGAATTGTGACCCATCTCTGTCCCGTCTATGGCTGGATTAATGACACCATTTTTTTCTATACCTGCGTGGTCAGTGACAACATGCCTGTGAGCATTGGAAGAAGTGTCATTGCTCTGGTGGAAGAAGACGAAATAACTCATGTACTGAAAGCGGTCAAGGTATGGCTGAGTTTACCCAGAGTGTCTTAACCTATTTCAATTTTATTTTTCCCTTGGATTAAGAAAGACACTAATGTAGACATAGAGTAAGTTTAATGGGCATGTTCTCATAATTTGGGAGAAAGAGGCAGATGGAATGTCTTTGAGTTCAAAGAAAGACTGGTTTGCATTATATGTTCAGGTCATCCAAGGATACAATATAAGGCCTTGTTTTAAACAACCACCCTGAAAAATGATACTGTGTTTTACTTATTTGTTCATTCCATTTTTATGCGGTAGAGTCTTGCCCTGTGCATCACATGTCCTCACATTGATTATGAACCCTTTGGGTAGCCTCAAAATCTCAGCCATTCCCTTAGCGTCTGACTCCTAAGTACTGGAGTTACAGGCCTCAATACTGCCTAGATTTCTCTCAGCACTCTATGCACATATCGGCATGTAAACTTCAGCCATCCTGAATTTGACTTAAGGGTGCTAAAAAAAGACACAGACCTTGTAATTCCTTTTGGTCTCTGGTCCCTTTAAAGGACAAGCCACGCCCATTCCCAGCGACTTCTGACCTCTTGTCACCACCTTTCCTTCTTTCTGTTCCCTCTCTTGGCGTGTACACACGTGTTTTCTGTCTTTTCTCTCTCTCCTTTTCTCTGTTTCTGTCTTTCTTTCTCTCATGCTCCTTCTCCCTCTCCCTTTCTTTCTCTGCCCCCTCCCCTTTTCCTCCATAACCCCGAATAAATATTTTAATCTCATTTTACATGTCCATGTCTCTGTCTCCTGCCTGCCTGCCTGCCCACAGCCAGCTCTGCCGCTGACTGCGGGGAATTTACACTGCTCTGGCAGCCTCTGCCTGGCTAGCGGTTGCTCTGCAAGCCTGCCGGGGCATGCCAAGCATTTTTTAAAGAATATTATTTGGTGCTATGGAATCGACAGATTCACCTGCCCCGGGGCAGGAGTCCCAGCTTCAGGCTCCATCCAGGACTCTGAGCTCTGACTTTCGGGACAGAATCGGGACCAAGGACCTTCTCGACAATGACCCACATGTTCCATCTGCCTGGGCATGGCTCCTACGAACAACACAGGCTTCTAATCGTGAGTTTCCCCATTTCAGCCAGCTTAACCGCCCCTTTTGACCCAGGAATTGACCATTGAGCTCATGGAAAATCCCGGTGTTTCTAGGATCGGGGGACTACCCCCAACCGTGGGTCTTCAAAGCCGTGGTTGCTCCCTTTGCTGGCATTCAATTATGGCTTACATCCTCTGTTAGGCCTGTGCCTGGGATGGCTTGGCCGTGGACAGCCCTCCAGCTTGCCTGCATCTGGAGGTCCGGGGTCTCCAGCTCTTCCTCTTTCTCTTTTTCATTCTTTTTCTTCCTTCTTTTTATCGTGACGGCTGCTACGGTGCATCTCAGCCGCTACTGGTTTCTGAGCAATCTGTCCAGAACCTGCTAGGCCCTTAGCACCCAACACGTGGATCAGGGACGCCTGTCCACGTGTCCTGGGTGTTCGCTCCATCTGCATCTCGCCTGAACAGGGAGCCATTCTCATTGTAGACTTGAGGTGCCACAGTTTATGCAGGTTTTTTTTCACGGTCTTGACCAAGGGAAGCAAGCTGTACCAGTCTATCAACAGCCTCATGCTTTGATGCCTTACTTAAAATCCTCCACACTTATCCATCTTTCTTCAAAAATGGTCTCAATATAACTTAGGGAAAATTGTTTGGGCAGGTTTTCACGACTCTGGCTCTGGATAACAACCGCCCATGGTGGCTGGTCCCTGGTTTTTAAAATTCCTGCTGACTTTTCCATTCCAGCCATGGCATGGTGCAGTTTTTCCGGTTCCAGCCTTGTGCTTCCCTCTGCAGCTTGTGGTATGGCATGGCAGCTCAGAAACAGGGCAGATCACACCTTTAGGTCCCTCTCATTAAGCTTAAAATCCTTACAGCTCAAAAATTGTAACTTTTTTCCCACAACACGTGGCTGCCGCCATATTCACTGGGGTCAGGTGACGTTATCGCTATCTTGACTGAGAACCAGGTCACGTGACCAAGCTCTCCCATTCTTATGTATGCCCTGCCTTCCCCCCCCCACCCGTGTTTACTGAAATCCTCTTGTTAACTCTGTTACAGGTGTTTTGCACAGTGACATGCTTTTGATAGGGCCCATCAAAAGCATGCACATTGCCCAATTCCTGTTCATTCTTTCCATATATAATAGTTATTCATTACATCTCATTTCAGACTACAAAATCCTGTCTCATATTTTAAACTAGTATGTACTTTTAACTCTTTTATATTTAATATTAAGCTGTTCTCTACCATTGTCAGTTCTGCCACTAATCTTATATTACAAACAGTTTTTTTTCTTTCTGTCTGTCTTTTTAAGAGTGTGGATCTTACCTGTTAAGAGCCAGTACAGTCAAGCTCAGACCCAACCTTCCAGACAGATTCTATACTGTACACCTAATATAAACAGCCCTGAACTGCTCATAGATCTGGGGAATGTGATATTTAAATATTTAATTATTAAAAAAAACTTTTCATAACAAAAAGAGACAGGTTGGCTCCTAGCAGCAGCACTCTGTTTCCTCCAAGAAGACAGAAGACAAATGGACACAGAACAACATCCGTCTGCAGTTGCAGAGCAGCGTCCATCTGCAGTTTGCTTCGACTGCTGAGCGCTGACCATTGGGCAAAACTGCCTTTCACCTAAACTGAAGACCTCCAGATGTGGACGAAATCACTGGAATCAACAGCCTAGCTGCACTGGTCAAGGTAGGACTGTCTTCCTACAGATTTCTTAGCCCACAGGGTCTTCTGGAGCCTGACAGGCCCTGCACTAAACAGCAAAGGTCAAGTACAACCTTCAGCGACCATGGAGGACCCAAAAGAGTAGCTCTGGGTACCAACCAAGTAAGTTCTCTGTCATTTTTTAATCAGTAACTCAAGTAAAATCTTATCCTTCTTAGAGATCTCTGACAATTTGATAGCTAAGAGGTTTTGCCAGGTTGCCTCACCAAATAAAAAATACCTTTCATTGCACAAAAATATGTCACAGTCATTATACAATGCATATGTCTAAAACTTCTGTTTTTACAAACCCAAGGAGTTCTTGTGAGTTCCAGGAAGCTGAATTAAAGAACCCACCATAAACAGGTCAGATACATCCCCCTCAATTCCCTGGTCCTAAAATTTTTTTTCTTAATTTAACTTTGTTCTCTGTTCTGCCAATACCCTAACCAGCTACAAGGGACACCAGACATTTCAATGCCACAGACACCTGTCGGGAGCAGAGACCAACTATGCCAGGATGTGACCAGCACCCAGCCTTCTCTCGGATTCCCCCCCCAAAGACGACGCCCACAAATCAGCCAGAAGCAATCTTGAGAATTCGCTGCCCCAATTCCTTCAAACTGTGGTGTCTATTCTCCTGCTTTTTATTATATAAAGGATCTGGGATGTTATTCCTTTTGGTCTCTGGTCCCTTTAAGGGACAAGCCACACCCACTCCCAGTCACTTCTGACCTCTAGTCGCCATCTTTCTCTCTTTCTGTTTCCTCTCTGGGCGTGTGCACACATGTTTTCTGTCCTTTCTCTCTCCCTTTTTCTCTGTACGTGTTTTCTGTCTTTTCTCTCTTTTTCTCTGTCTTTGTCTTTCTCTCTCTCTCCTTTAAATAATAAATGTTCAGCTTTATGTTCAGCTTTATGTCTTTTACTATGTCTTGTAAGCCTTTTATCTGCCACGCCTGCTCACCCGCCAGCTTGGATGACTCTCCCGGCCGCATGGCAGTACCAGCCTGTCTGGGATGAGCCACCACTCTGCCACTCGCCACAGGAAATCTGTACCACTCACGCCAGCATTATTTTTTAAGGAATATTAGACCTTGCTTTATAACTGGCTTTCAAGTGGTCCTATAGCATGAACTGGACTATCTACTCTCCTCCATTTGGTTGTGGGGACCAAAAGTATCTTAGGATTTTTCTTTACAAGTCTAAGAATCTATCTGACTTCTTTGCTATGATTGTTAGTGGTGTTTCGATCGTGAAAAAATTGAGAACTGGGAGAATACAAGTTTTCCATGAAAACTTGGAAGTTATTAAAGGTGCAATATGTCTGTGGGCTAGTGGAGAGTCAAAATGCACATTGCTCAGAGTTTGTGACGCTCACCCACCTGCATACGGACAGAACTGGTGGTGAATAGTCAGATAGGAGCCAGTTTCTTCTCTCCTCAGTGCAAAGGATCCTGGAGAAAGGACCAAAGGACCATTCCATCTGTACAGTGAGTGGGAAGTAGCAGCAGCAATTTTTTAGGTTTTGAAAAGACATTCAACAGTCTTTGATGTCAGTGGCTCCAGTTTCCATCAGGAGCTTAAAACTATCATAATGAGTACATCCAAAGAATCATGTGATGAGGACAACAGCTCACTAATTATTATGCATGTGTACATTGTGATTCTAGATGCACTTTTGGCCACCCTTTGGTGTGTCTTTATGAGATACTTTAATGGCTTGCACAATATTTAGTTTTGATTTTCAAACTGGTAGCCAGTCATTGTTTCTGGGTAATGAAAATTATCCAGTATGGCTTGTGGGAGATGGTTTTCTGCTGTGTGATCATGTGACTATTCTCTTATTGTATAGAAAACATGCATGTTTTGTTTACTGAAGAAAATTTCAAAGGAAAACTACCTCCAGTAAGGGTCATAATCCTTGAAGAGTCAGAATATTAGTGTTATTTCACATATATGTAAATGGAGCCCTAGCACGCCTTGTCTATGCAATCTCTTCTGGGGGGCTATCTCTCCCACTTCATCTCCTGCTCCTGCACCCAGGTCCAGAAAGGGAATAGCATGCTTTCCTTTCTTGGTCTCCAAAATTGTGTTGCTCTTTCTTCTCTGTCGACTTTATTCTGCTCCACTCCCATCTCCCAGGGAACCCATTTCTCTTCCTTTGCATACACCGCAAAGCCCATTTCCTCAAATTACCCACCAGTGTCACTCAGACTAAACTGTTTTCTGTGGAAATGTGCAAAATTGTTTTCTAATTTCAGGTACAGATGTGACTACAGCTTGTTTAGAAGTAGTTTTTTAAAATATATTTTAGACTCTTGAATTTTAAGATCCTAGAAAGCAAGAGCACTGTTTTTCTCAGGTCAGAAGGTAGGTTTGTGAGAGCATTAACCACAGATGTCAAATTCACACTCTCAAGGCCCTTACCTATCCATGGAGCAAGCACAGACACAATTGGTGTCATCATCTCAGGTCCATGGTGTATCTTTATCAGGAAACGTATGGTCTAAGTCTGAGAACAGATTAAAAGATTTCTGCTACAGGAGGACTATTTTGGGATGGCTAATGAAGTCCTTTGTCTCTAACAAGGGGTCCTATGTCCTGAAAGCACCCTTCCATTTGTGTTAGGTCAATTCATTAAAATGCTGTTGTTTTGGTGGGGAATCCTTGGTAAACATACGAACTCCTGCTCGCAATTTTTATTTTACCTTCGGCCACTGTCTCCTTCTCTTATAGGTGAAAACTATGGCTAATTGCGATGCGGTACTAAGCCATCAGAGCTTGACAGAGAACTTTGTATTATGTGTGCCACCTCGGTAACAAAGGACAGTATCTATATCAGCAAGGAAACTTCTATCCCTGCCCAGCTCTTTTCTGGAGGTAAGTTTGATAGTTTTTAAAAACATAGATCAAGAGTGTGGGAAATGTCTTTGAAATTGAAAGTAAGGCACAGTAAAGGGAAATGGGAACTCTTTTAAATATCACCTGTTATCCTGCCCCCTGAGAATGCCATCATCCATGTGGCTTTCACGATTTAATTGATTTCTTTGAGTGTTTTGTTTTTTCTCTACGTTACCTGAAACTCACTGTGTATCTGAGAATTGTTCATGACCTTAGGAAACCCCTTCCCTTCTGAGTGCCGGGATCATATTCTTTGTGCCACTGCAGCAGGATACATGTACCAAGGTTCACACATGTGATCCTACCATATACCTGGCTTCCATCCCCAAGGTGATATCAAAATGAGCATTTGATGAAGAAATCCACTCTCAGACACACAGTTGCTAGTTATCCATGTCTGATGAATAAATCATTGTAGATGAACCAGTGTTTAAAGGGCTTTAAGCTTCCTTTCTGTAGGAGGAATTAGAGATAATCTGTCTTAGCATTTGGAAAAGTGACTTTACATTAAGGAAATGTTCATCAGCCTATGGCAGTGACAAAGGGCCTTAGGTAATGTGACATGACCCGAGTGCAATAATATTTACAGTTTTAATTTTCTTGGCTGATTTAGAATTCATGCCTTACAAAGGAAACTTGATTGATTATTCCTCGAAGCTGGGCAATTCAAACATGGACATCCACACTATGAGCTCCCTCAGCTCTCAGAGGATCAGTGAGGTAATTTGCTTCCATGTTGCCCTTGTCATGGGTAGGTAGCTGCCTATCCTTCCTTCCTGATCACTTTCTTGCTCAGAATTTTGTTTGGGAGTATATCCCCTGCAAAAGTTGATAGGTTCACAGATTGAAAAAGAAATAAGAGAAAATAATGTAGAATATACACATACTTAATTCCTAGGTTGTGTGCTTTACTTGACGTTAGGATGCTCTGTGAACAACAGTTAGAAAGTGTCTTGACTGTGAGGCAATTGTGGGGAAACGTTGAGTGCACTGGGTTTGAGGTCTTCAGCCTGCTGATAAAGATGGGTAAGCCCATGGTCAGTACAAGCTGAGAATTAGATGTAAAGTCAGGGTGGTATACTGTGTGGCCATATTGGTTAACATGAATGACACATCCTCTCATCACATAGGAGATAGAGTGTGGGGCCATATTGGGTAGCATGAATGGCATATTTTCTTATTACACAGGAGAAAGAGTGTGAGGCAATATTGGGTAGCATGAAGGGCACATTTTCTCATCACACGGGAGATAGTGTGTGGGGCCATACTGCTTAGCATGAAGGGCATATTTTCTCATCACACAGGAGATAGAGTGTGGGGACACCGTGGGTAGCTTGAAGGACATGTCTTCTCATCACACAGGGATTAGATGTGTTGGCACAGTTTCCAGGTATTCCCTGTGTGTCGAGGATGAGAATCAGTGATGGGCCAAGGGACCTGTTAATTAGAGCCAAGGGGTTGTTGAGGACCATCTGTGGTGGGCTCTGCTTCTCCATACTCAGTGTCTTCATTTCCCATCATAGGTCTGTGTGACCAGTATTGATGGAAGAACTGGTGTGGTAGATGACATCATCTTTTTCACCTTGGACTCTCTCCATACTCTCCCTGGTTATACACCTGCATTATACGATATTGTTAATGTGGTTGTAGTAGGCAGCATTTAATCATACTACACCTGCAGAGTGGTATCTATATTTCCAGTGGAGATGTTGTATTAACCAATCATTTTAAACCCTTTGTAATTTTACTACTGGGCAATAATGCTGGATTAAATAAAGTAGTTTGAATGAGCAAATAAATATGTATGCAGTCAAGACTTTTTCTTTTCAACAGTCTTGGGTTTTTTGTTGGTGATATGGATTCACTTTTGGAAGATGCCCTATCAACTAAAAATTGTGCCCAGTAGATTCTTGAATGTAAAAGAAACACCTTGCTCTTAGGTCAAATTCACAATTATCCTCATGCAAAAGTATGTACTTTGTTGCCAATGGAACTTCTCTCTATGCTAGCATTTCACCTTAATACAAAAAAAGGTGTTGAGTGTTTTCCCAAGAGCAGTTAGACTAGCTCTTGGTACATATTGTAGGCAGATTTTTTAAAGACTTTATTAAATAAATTCACTGTGCAGCAGTGTTGCACAATTTTAATAGTACAATTATTTATTAGTATTAATTTTAATAGCACAACATTCTATTAGGAGTTCATTTGTTCATTTAAATGAGAACATTATCCTATCTTTAAAATATGATCTGTGACTGAATTTTAGGAATAGGAATAGCTTTTTGCATACATGAATCATGTGGAATCATCAAAACTTGCTGTTTGAAATTCATATTGGTTTTCCTATGGTAAAGGGTCTCAGAATATCTTACATCTGTACCTCATGAAATTTCTTTTTTCTCTTTGATGAAATTTAAATGCATCCTTGGGTCAGTGGCATTTGAGAGAGGGGGAGGAAGTGGTTTTGTCTTCATCCCTGGAGCACCATCTATAATTTGACCATATTTCCTAGCCCCCAGCAAATAGTTTGACTTTTGATTTTTTCATCAGTCTACCCCACCCAATTTTTCTGCTCTATCTCATAATAAAAAGTAAAAGGATATGTCTTGATAAGTTTAGGCTTTGGCTTACTGATTATTTCCACAAATTCTGTAAATTCTTTATTACCTAATGCAGTTCTGCACAAATGTGGACTAATCAGCCAGGGTCCTCAAGGCCCTGACTGAAGGAAAGATGCAGAAAGAAAGAAATGAAGATGCAAGGAGTGGGCAGATTCAAAGGCCTGCTAGACACTTGGAGCCATGGCAAAGGCAGCAAGGAATATAAGTAGGCAAAAGGAGGAGGTCTACTTTCCATTCAGGGCCATGGTGATGTCTGGGCAGAGATGCTGCCAAGGACCATGTCTGGGTCCCTGGTCCTATAGTAGCCTGGGTGTAGCATGAATAATAAAAATTCAAACATCAGGGTTCAAGTTCAAAGATCAGAGAAGCAAAGCAGCCAACCACTAAAGAACTCTTACCTCTAAGAAATCTTCAGACTGAAAAGAAAGTGAGATCCTGTCTCATCTGCCTTATATTCCTCTCTACTGCTGGTATTAAAGGCGTGCAACACCCCTACCTAACCTCTATGACTAAGTAGTATGACTGCTGGGATTAAAGGTTTTGTGCCACTGTTGGAGAAGGGAGGCCGCTTGTTGATTCTCTGCTGCCCAGCTGGCTTAGACCAGAAATAATCACACAGAAACCGTATTATTTAAATCACTGCTTGGCTCATTAGTTCTAGGTTCTTATTGCCTAATTCTTACATATTAATTTAACCCATCTCTATTAATCTGTGTATTGCCACATGGCAGTGGCTTACCAGCAAAGTTTTGGCATGCCTGACTCTGGTGGCTGCTCCATTGCTTCTCTCTAACTCTGCCCTTCTTTTTCCCAGCATACAGTGTAGCTTTCCCTGCCTAGTTCTGTTCTTCTCTGCCATAGGCTCAAAGCAGTTCTTTATTCATTAACCAATAAAAGCAACACATAGATAGAAGGACCTTCCACACCATGCCACCAATGCCTGGCCTTTATGGTTGACTAGCGTGGCTAGCTTTGCACTATAATATTCAGGCAAGCTTTATTTGTTAGATCATAAACAAAATGTCACTATGTTTCCCCCTTTTTGTCTAATATAAAAAGGTTATAACTAATATAAGAAAAACTATATAAAATAAGTATAATGACTATATACAATGTATACAGGCAATAAGTACATCAACAATGTCTACTACATTTGGATTTTACAAATTCAGAGAAAATGCTCCATTATCTGTCCTATTTTGGTGAGTCTGAAGACTTGTACCTAATTTACTCTCTATCATAACTTGCATTGTCATTCAAAACTATATTTTGATATCTCTCAACCTTATACACTTTACATCTCCTTAGAGAGTTTCTTTTTTCTTTTTATAGGAAAACTATAACAATCTATTCCTGGGGTCCTTATTATCCATTTTTGTTTAATATATCATTTAAAGTGCAATTTGATCTTTTTATATCTGCTGGACATGTAGGGTTGTATGATATACCTGCAATATGCTTATATATTATATTAAACAAAAAACTATTTCATTTTCTTAGAAACAGATGCTGGAGCATTGTCTATATTTATTTGTACAGGTGTACCCATGATGGCCATAACTTCTAGACAATATGTGGTTACCAAATCAGCATTTTCTGAACTCAAAGCAGTTGCCCACTGCAAACCTGAGTAAGTATCAATGATGTGATGTACATATTTTAGTTTTTCAAATTCTACAAAATAGAACACATCCATCTGCCAGATTTCATTCCTTTGAGTACCCTTTGGGTTACTTCCTGAAGGTAGTGGTATTTGGTTAAATAAAGAATAAGTAGGACATGTCCTTATAATTTCCTTGGCTTGTTGCCATGTGATGAAAAAGACATTTTTTAAATCTTTGCTACTGACATGATGTTTTTTATGAAGTTCTGAACACATTTTCTATCAATAATTGTTCGATTTCTGCATTACCTTGTGCTAGAGGACCTGGCAGACCAGTATGGGATCAGATGTGTGCTATGTATGTGGGATGATTCCTATTCCTAATTGTATCTTGTAACTGAATAAAGTCAATTCTGTATCATCTGGTATAAATTCAGCGATATTGATATGTAAAACAATTCTTTCTGCATATTGCAAATCAGTAACTAGGTTAACAGGTTCCTTAAAGTCCTTTAGTACCATGAGAATAGCATATAATTTTGACTTTTGGACAGAATCATAAGGGCTTTGTTCTACTTTACTTAAATTTTCTGTTGTGTAACCTGCCATTCCTGATTTATTTGCATCAGTATAGAATGCAGGGGCCCCAGTTATTAGTGTGTTCCATATGACATGAGGAAGGATTCAGTTACTTCTCTTTATAAGCTGAATTCTTTTGCTTTGGGGATATTGGTTGTTAATCTCAATCAAAAAATTACTACAAGCTCTTTGCCAGGGTTCACTTTTTGCTCATAATTTGTCAATTTCATCATTAGTAAATGGCACTATGCTCCTTTCTCCTTTCAGGAGACTAACATTCTTTCTTCCTTAAGGACCTATTACAGATAGCAAAGCAGTTGTAGTCCTTCTCTGCTAATCCTTCTGTTTATATCAAGCAGTTTTGTTATCTGTCCCAAGCCTACGATCTAACCTGCCATGATCTCTGTGTCAACCAGGCCTCCACTCTCACTCCTAAAGAGTGAGTTTGGGTTCAGTCAGAAGCTAGACAGTATGCAGACCAAACCCACCTAGTGGACAATATGGTTCTATGGCTGACATGGCATTTCCAGCTACAGAGGCCTATTGGGATTATCAGCCAGGTCAAAATGGCCACCAGAGGAGGGACCTCATGCTTGGCTGTCTCCTTCAGCAACATTGGACAATGTTGTTAATCTTGATAAGCTCCAAGAGATTACACAGAAATCTGATAAAAATCCAGTCATTTTTTAAAATCAATTAAGAGAGATCATGGTTCAATACACTCGCCTTGATCCAAGCTCCCCAGTAGGAGCCATGGCCCTGACCTTCCATTTCATTTCTCAGTCAGTGTTACAAATGTATTTTTTTCCTGAGCTCATTTTCAGTCAAAAAATTTAAAGAAAACACAATAATATACATAGTTTAGACTTTTTGTGTATATTTTATTTTTATGTTATTACTTTTTATAAGTTTAATATTTATATTTTTAAATTTATGTTGACTGTATGTTTTGTATTATAACTTTATATATTTTTAAAGCCTATGTACATTTATCTAACACTGTGACCCATTTAGAGGTCTTTTTATTTCAATTTGTTTTTATTGTGTATTTGTAATAATTTTTTGACCAGAAGCATGTTTTTTATATGTTAAGTGGGCATGACTAGGACCAACTTTGCAGCCTTGTCTATTTGTTTTGCTCAGTCCAAAATGGCAGAGGCATATTTACTGTCTCTGCGAGTCATGTACTCCACCCTAGCTCCAGGGATGTAGCCTGTCTATGTTGTCATTAAGCAACTAGTAGCATGCTAGTTTAATTGCTTTAAATACTTGACCTCCTGAAAGACCCAGAGCTGTTTGTACAACTAGCACAGAACCAGAATGTCTATTTAAAGGAGCCACATAGATTTGTTGCTATTGTTGAGTTAGGAAGTCTTTTTTTTTTAGAGGAGTCATGCCTTTGCTTACTGTCAGCAAACAGAGCCTATCTGGGGCGAAAAAAAGAGCACAGCTATCAAGAAGCTGTCCTTGGCTCCCGTTTTTATAGGTCTAGAAGTCCTCTTTTTTGAAGCTTTTTTAAAGGTCTTATGTGGATTCATGTCCCACATTGGTTACCATTCTGTAGGCAGAGACTGCTAGACTACTTGTTAATTTTCCGACTGCCCAGACCCAAAATAATCACACAGAAACTATATTAATTAAAACACTGCTTGGCCTATTAGCTTAGGCTCTTTATTAACTAACTCTTATATCTTAAATTAACCCATTTTTATTATTTTATATTTTACCACAAGGCTCATGGTTTACTGGCAATGTTCCAGTGCATCTATCTCCTTCAGCAGCTTCATGGAGTCTCTTTGACTTTGCCTATTCTCTGCATATATCTCATTTAGTTTGACTGTCAGGGCCCAACATAGAAAACTATTTTCCCTAACTGGACCGGTACAGAGGCGCAAGAAATAACCAGACACAGCTTAAACCATCATCACGGAAGGGCATCTCAGGCTTTTCTCCATCCTGAAGATCTACCCGCGTTTATTCTACCGCCCCCCCAACCCAAGGTGGATACCTCATTAATATTCCCTTTCCCAGGGACTCCAGGCTAGGGGGAGAACATCAGCTTCAGCAAACACCTCTCCTCAGGTGATCTACATTTTTAACAAAAGAGAAAGGAGCAACACATCCTGGCTATTGTGAGGGCAGTGACAGGCTGTCTGTAGTTCTATGTGACCACCTCAGGTGGGCCTATGGCTTCAGAGCCTGGTTGCCACACCATATAGAAATATGGGCCTACATTTGGCTATATTTTTCCCTGCTATAGGCCAAAGCAGCTTTATTCATTAGCCAATAAAAGCAACACATATACAGAAGGACATCATTAGAAAGAAATTAAAAAGGGCTGAGAAGGGTCCCCAAACCCTCATATAGGAATGGTAAATATGGCATTTAAGATTTTTAATGCCGAAGAGGAGGCATCAGAGTCTTCCCAATAGGCTAGGCTGCAACAGAAGACTATACTCCAAGTCCATGCCTTGGCAGCTGCCCTGAGGCCACTGGTAACCTCACAATGGGGATGGGGACAGGGAAAATCCATGGGGCTCCATCCTGCCAGAACTCGGCCCAAGCTTGGAGTCTGGTATACGCAGGTGGAAGTTCTGTCTCAGTCTCCCCTCCTCATCGCTCTTTCTCCAAACCCTTCTCAGTCTCAGACAGCCCAGAAAATGCAGAGATGCTCAAGACCATGCCTAAAGGGTATTTAAATGGCTCCTAAGGAAAGGTCATACAGTTTTTCAGTCTCTTCTCCCTGTCTCTTCTCTGGAGGCTAGAAACAGAATCATACTTGGAGCATTTTACCAATAAACCTGGACTTTTTCTTCTTGATTCACTTGATTTCGCTTGCGTCATTGGCAGAAAGACTTAATATCGAGGTACAGAAACATTTTACATGGTCCTACCACAACCAAAGTCTATGGGGATGACCATGGCCCATGTTGCCACCAACGGTCACATGAAGCCTGGGGTCTTGGCTGGAACCTGTGGCCTTATTGGTGTCCAGGGATCATGCTACTGTAAGAAACATTCTGATCTGAGTGGCCAGGTTACCACTTGGAACTAGGTTGTTGACCAGGCCAAGCTGCTGCCTGGGGCCATGTCTGGGTCCATGACCCACCTGCAGTTGGGGTATGTTTTGAAGTTTGTGGCCCAGGTTACCACTAGGACATACACAGAGACCCAGGATCTGGGCCAGAGCCTGCAGCTTCGTTGGAGTCTGGGGCATGCCATGGCAGGGACCATACAGATATGGGTGGCTTGTGCTGCCACCTGGGGCCATGTCTGGGCCATGCTGCTGCTCAGGGCCATGTCTGGGTCCCTGGCCCTGTACTGGCCAGGATCTAGATTGACATATGTGGCTCCTGTTGCCACTGAGCACCATGAGGATGAGCAGGGTTAGACTAGCCACTTGGTGTCTGAGGGCCAAGAGGCATGCAGAACTGAGTGGCCTGCTGTGGTGATATTTTGTTTGTGCTCTAACAGATAAAATTTGCCAGAGGATCAGAGAGTGAAGCTAGCCACTAGTTTGCCATAGAGGCCAGGCAGTGGCGGCACACACCTTTAATCCCAGTACTTGGGAGTTACAAACCTTTATACCCCCCACACTAGGGAAGCAGAGACAGGAAGGAACATGGCTGGGCAGAGAGAGGAATATAAAGCAGGAGGGGACAGGAGCTCAGCCATTCAGCCTGAGGATTCCTTATGACCCTTTTCTGTTGTTGGTTTAGAGGAAAGGGAAGCTGGGATACTTCACACTCACTTGATGGAGAGTCTGCCAGTTTCTCCAGATTCTACCACTAGGTGGCACCATCTATGAGCTATTGTTTGCAAAAATAGTCCCCTTTTCTTCTCTAGGACAAATTTTCAGTTATACTAATGTGTTCCTGATGTGCATGCAGGCGCGTGCTCACGCGCGCGCGCACACACACACACACACACACACACACACACACACACACACCACTGCTGTGCTTCAGATTCTCCCTTTCTCCAACAACAGGAAAGCTGTGACAGGTCTACATGGGGTCAATCTCTTCATTGTCAGTACTACTGGGTTGCTGATTGTTGTGGGAAACTGCTCTTATACACTGTAAAGATTTGTTAATTATATTAGTTTAATAAAACACTGATTGGTTAGTAGCCAGGCAGGAAGTATAGGCAGGGTGGCCAGACCAAGAGAATTCTGGGAAGAGGCAAGGCAGAGAGTGAGTCACCAGCCAGATGCAGAGGAAGCAAGATGAGAATGCTGCACTGACAAAAGGTACCAAGCCATATGGCTAAACATAGGCAAGAATTATGGGTTAATTTAAGTTGTAAGAGCTAGTTAATACTAAACCTGAGGTAATAGACCAAACCGTTTATAATTAATATAATACTCAGTGTGTTTCTTTGGGACTGAAGGGCAGCAGAACCGGATGGGAGAGACACTCCCATCTACAGCTCATATTAACCTTTTACTTCTTCAAGTCACATACATTTTCTCCTAACATGGGCACCATCAACTCTAAACTCTTACCCCTTCAATGTATGCTAAGGAATTTCTCCCTACGGTCTAGAAAAGAATATGGGCACACACTCTCAAAAAAAAAAAAAAAAGACTGTGCACTTACTGTGAGATTGAATGGCCCTCTTTATGAAGTGGGGTGGCCATTACCAGTTCCCCGGACCTTTGCTATTGCAAAAGCAGTTTGGGTCCACATTGGACCCAGGCCACCCTGATCAGTTCCTTTATATTAATCAATGTTTGTCACCTATTCAAAACTCACCTGCTTGGTTTAAGGTTTGTGCTTGAAAATCCTCTGCCTTGGTTTCTAAAAATGTTTATCACCAGCCTCCTGCTGCATGTCCTGTCCTGCCTAGAGATCAAGAACCTGGTTTTTCTCCCCCCTTCCTATAACCCACATTAATTGCCACCATTCCCAATTTACCCATCTCCTCTAGATTCATCCTCCTTCTCCCAACCTCAAGCCCCTCTGTCCCATGTCACAATACTCTATCTACTTCTGGCCCTTATCCCCATCCTAAATTCCTTGACTTCCCCTTCTGGATCTAGATAGGTTCTTTCTAATCCCCCTCTCCCTCTGTGACCATCACTATTTCTCCTGATGGAGATATCCAGTTTCCCCACCTCCCCTCACTTCCTTCACTGCCCTTGGCTCCTGCTTAGGAGAACACCATGCTCCAGACCTCACTCAGGTCTTGACCTCTGTTTTTCCCTTGTGACAAGCCCCACCACCTCCTGGGGCAGGGGACAACAAACTTAGAGGAAGGGTGTCACCTTTTCCTGATCTATGTTCCTTTCTCTACTTCAGATCTGTGTAACTGAAATCCAGACTATCCTCCCTTTTCTAATAAATCCCAAGAACTAACCATCCTCCTCTAGCCTGTCCTCTGTACCTGGAATGGTTGCCAGAAGCTCCTTCTGTTTACTTCAGAGGAAAGGCATCATATTGAGACAAAGGCAAAAAAGGCTTTTTGACCTCGACCACTGGTATGAGTATGGATGCTTTAAAGCTACTTATCTCTTGAGGAACCTTTCCCATCCAAATGTCCTGACAGGAACCCCAATATGTATGCTGGTTCTGAGGTCATGGGACACTTTTCACTGTTGTGCTATGACTGAAATTCAGAGTGAAGCTTGAAAACCCACAAGTTTGCCTAAGACTGCTAAGCTTCTTTGGGGCCCAGAATTTCCTGGGCCCATTTTTTGAGCAACTACAGGAAGCTTTCCAAATTTACACCCTTTCTACTACTGGATCTGGAAAGTGCTAGGGTATAAAATTTAGCCTTTTCCCCTCAATCAGCCCTGGATATGCACAGAAAAGTTCCAAAAGCTAGGGGATTTTGCTGGGATGAATAGTTCAAAGCTCATCAAAACTGTTCCAAGTTTTTCAGTAACAAAAATAAAAAGTTAAAATGAAAACAAAAACAAGCTATCTTCCAGTGAGGACTGACTTCATTCTTTGCTTTCTAATCTCAAGTCTTCAGTATAATTCCTGTCTCCTGACTGTCTTTTGCTGCTTAGTGTCCAAATAATGGAAGGGTAAACTTCCATTGTTCATTCTCACCTTCTGTTCTTGAACAGAACAGGATTGGGACTGTCATTCAGTCACCTGAAACACACTTTAGCCTAGACTGTCACTGAGTTTCTAGATGGAAGCTTGGACTTCTACTAGTCTCAGGAGACTTAAATCTTGTCATCCAGGTGAAGCTGTGTGCTGGGTGGAGATAAGTTCAGAGTTGTCTATGCTCTACATGTGCCCACATGTTTCCCTAATCCTATGCACAACAGAGCACAATGTGTGGCAGTACAGAGCAGGAAGGGTGGAAACATCCATACTCCTATGTTTAAAGCCTGGGATTGGGAGCTTTGAGCTTCAGTGAATTTGCTGGAATGTTGCCTGGCACATAACATGCCACGTGTGTGCTTAAACTGTACATGTGATTTCTGCTGTGTGCTCACCCTAACCTTACACACAGCACGCCATTCCAGAAAATCCTTGAGAAGAAGGGATGCTGTCCATCACTACCATACAAGCGGAGCAACTGCCATCTTCGTAACACCATTACACCTGCTTGAGAAAAGCTTTATGGCAGGGGATTTGTTGACTGGACACTCATAGGAGAGGGCAGGAAGACTTATTTGGTCCTCAACACTCCTAGCCAATTGTATGCAATTATTTTCCTAATTGTATGTGGCCCAGGGGCCTCAGGGAGTGGTTAGGGTATAAAGGTGGGGAATACTAGAGAAGAGGACTCTATCTATGACTGGATGGGAAAGCCATTATCTATACTGGGTAAAGACTTTCCAGTGTGCTTGCTTAGGGTTCACCAGCACTTCTGTCAGCAATACCTTACTCACATTCTTCAGGTAAGTCTGTGTAGCCCTGAATGTCCTACAACTTACTTTACAGACCAGACTGGCCTTGAACTTAGAGATCCACTGGCCTCTGCCTCCCAAGTGCTGGGATTTAAGATATGTGCCACCATTCCATGCCCCCAAACCTACATTTTTGTTCATAAAAGTAAACTGTAAGAGAAATACAAAAACACAGATAAATATCTGAAGCCTTGAAGAACAGGACTAGCTATAGGTCACAAAACTGTTTAGATTTTATTTGGAAGTAACAATAACAGAGGTGCCACACTTTCAAAAAGCTAATGATTAAAGATGGTATTTAAAAGACACGTTTCTTAGTTAACTAATAGTACCCAGGCTCAAGTTTTTCTCAAGACTTATCAGAAGAACATTTGTTAAGTGCCATATTTAAGGAAAGCAAAGTATGTTTGCTCCTCTTCTATTCCATACTGTTACAATTCAATATTTAACTTCCTGCAATTTTCTTTTTCAACACAGACATTTGTTTTTTAATTTCAGTGCGTACATTATTAAGTAGTCTGCCGTCCTCCAAGTTTTCCAAACCCTAAAACACAAAAGATAGTTACAAAACAAGCTTTCATCACAGGTTCTAAAGATTAAAATTACTTTTAAAAATTATGAAACCTTTCATATTCAAATAGTATCCATTATCTACTCCATCTTCATAAGACATTGTAATATGGGGCTGGAGAGATGATTCCGTGCTCTTCCAGGTTCAACTCCCAGCACCTACATGGCAACTCACATCTGTCTGTAATTCCAGTTCCAGGGATCCAACACCCTCACATAGACACAGGCAAAACACCAATGTATATAAAATACAAATAAATAAGATAAAACATTGTAATATATAAACTCCCAAATTCATACCATAAATAATGCATGTGTGTGTATGTGTGGGTATGTGTGTGTATGTGTGTGTCTGTGTGTGTGAACAAGGAATCAAAGGTAATTGTGGCATGTACAAACGTGGTAGTGTGTGAATTAATAATTTAATGAGATGTTAGGGCTAGGTAGAGGAAAAAAGTGCAGCTCCAAGTCACTCTGAAGCTCAGCTGAGAGCATAAAGAACCGAACACTACTAACAAGGACAAGACAGGAAGACATGGTCTCAAAGGCAGAATGGGGCTGGGGATTTATGTCAGTTGGTAGAGTGCTTACCTAGCATTTAATGTACCCTGGGTTTGATCCCTAGAACAATATAAACCAAGCTGTGACAAGCTTGTAATTTTAGCAGTAGAGAGGTGAAGGCAGAAGGATTAGGATTTCGTGGTTATACTCAGATATATAGAAAGACTGTACCACATAAGACCCTACCTTTAAAAAGAAAGAGCGAAAATGTATAGAATTAGAAGCACTAGAAAATCCAAAAGTTCAATCAGTAAATATGGTGATTTTAAGAATTTCTGATAAGGTTATCAAATATCAGGTTACAATTCATTTATTATAACTAATTGACTAATGTGAATAAAGGTAATTAAATGGTCTTACTATGAGACTATTTCCAAGTTATATAAAACAAAAAATACATTTTGGTACTTTTGTTTTTATTACAGGATCTTGCTGTGTAGCTCAAGCTAGCCTCCAACTTCCCATTCTTCACTCTCAGACTCCCCGCAATTGTCATCATTTGCCTGTGCCACTATACCCAGTGAAAATTTTAAGTTAATTTAACTAATAAATTATTTTAACCTGCTATTTAAGGTATACTACTAGTAAACCTTGTAGAGAGACTTTAAAAATAATAGCACAAGATATCTTACCCCTTTTATTGAAAAAAAAAGTAAACAAAATAATTCAAACACTCCATACTGGAATGGAAATGAATCTATTTTTAGCTATAGTGTAGAAAATGGGGTGATTCCAAATAAGTTGGCAAAATAGTAAGGTTTCAAAATTAAACCAATTAAAACTATTCTAGGAAAAGCATATAAACAGAGAATGGAAGTACACAGTCTTTGGGTTCACAAAGCAATTATGCAGAGAGATGAGGTTAATGAGCAGATGCGGTAAATGGAGGGGATCTTATATAACAGGAAGTTGTACATTAGATTGGCAGAAACAAAGGGATGTGTTAAGTAGCTTACATGGCAGATCTATGGAAGACGGCACAAAAAACAGAGGGAGAACAAGTAATTAACTAGAGTTAATAGCAGTAAAATTGAAAAGGAACCAATTCTCTGCGAATATATAAATAGATTTTAACTAAACTACTCTTCTGTGTACTTTGGACATGGGACCCACAGGACCTAAGCTGAATCTGACCTGAAAGCCTCCTCGCTGAGAACTAGATTTTATGGTACCAGAAGGTGGCAGGGAAATTTCCAAAGGAGAGAGGCAACCAACCATCCTATTTATTCAGCTAGAATGAATATGAACTACAGGTAGCAACACAGCACAATAACCCTAAAGATACAGTAGTGGTGTGGAAATCTTGGCGGTAGTCAACAGCCCTCTAATTGGACTTAATCCACTCTTTCATGTTTATGCAAATTAGCATGAAGCTCTTCGAACGTGTTTTAAAACTACTGTTTAGACCTTGACTTACTAGCATGCAAATCTACTTATAATCATATAAGCCTAGAAAAAACTTTAAAGAGTTTATCATTTATTTATATGGGTGTGCCTATGTTTGCAAGCATGTACATGTGGGTGTTTATGGAGGCCAGCAGAGGATGTCAGATTCCCTGCGGCTGGAGGGCTGAGCCTCTTGTTGTGGGTGCTGGGAAGCAGATTCCAGGCTCCTCAAATAGCAGCAAGCACTCTTAACTGCTGAGCCATCTCTTCAGCCCCTCAGTCTACAAATTTTAACCCTAACTTATATCTGGACTATTTTTTATGATTATAAATTGGCATCTAAAATCATTGTGGTCACTGTAATTATTCTAAAACCTAGTATGTTAGGAAAATGCTTCTATAATACATTTAAAAACAAAAATATTTAGTAATTTCAATTAAGCACTTCCTTATTTAACAAATATTGGGGCTACAAGGACAAACGATAATGTTAAAATGGTGTATAGACATATTACTTGCAGTTAAACAGAAAATAACGAAAGTGTTAATAGTTTACATATTGATGCATGAGCACATTTCTGATAATTGTCTCAACGTTTTCTGATTTGAGTTAAGTTCCTGCCGAGATCATGACAGATCTGCCAATTTATTTATCACTCAGTCACAATCAATTAATTTAGAATGGAAAGTAGTTAAATTTTGAAACGTATTAAGAATGTATTATGGAACTGGAGAGATGGCTCAGCCATTAAAGGGTAGACTCATAACCAAAAATATAACAGTTTGGTTCCCTTTCCAGTCACTAAAACAAAATACAGTATATTACAATTTACACCATACCTTTAAATACTCCTCATTCTCTTGCTTAATTTCTTTCAGGCTGTGGTTCTGACGTGTTCTAGCTCTTTTAAAAGTCTTCTGCTTCTGATAAAAAACATCCTACAAATATAAATGGAAAACTGTGTAATAGCAATTAAGTATGAAGTTGGTTGCTTTCGATGCTGTGTGGGCTTTTCTCATACTAGATAAAGTCTACAACTAAGATAATCGAAGGACTAAACTTAAATTCAGAAAAAAGTTATAAATTCATCTTAAAAGGAATTGTTTTGTAATAAATGCTGTCAATATTTTGATTCGATATGTGTTATCACTAAGTTTAAGCAATTTTTTTTTACCACTAAGCAGCAAAAACATTCTCAAAGTCACGGAGTAGGAATTTTTAAAGTCAGATTCTATATGCACAGAACTCATGATCTTCCTGCCTCAACATCTTGAGTAGCTGGGATTACAATCATGCAGCTTGTGTGACTGAGAGGGAATTCTTCATATTCAGGACATAACTTATTCTAGTAGTGTTCACACAGATGGTTTTCCAATAATTCTGTCCATTCAGCTCCTTAACTTATTCTCCACCAATGACTTTGTTCTCTAACCTACTTTATTCACCCACTTATTTAAACATTTGTACTCTGTTTTGCCATTACTCATAACACACCTTTATTAGTATTGGTAATGAAAATACAGAATAACTCCATGACAGATATTATTTTGAAATCTATTAAATAGATTAATTGTATACAAACTCGTCTAATAATTCGACAACTATAGGAAATAGATGCTCTCCATTTTCTTCCAGTGATGAGGAAACTGAGATGCAATGGTACATTGTCTATTGTTCCAATGCTACCTATCACTGAAATCTGAATCAGATCCAAAACATTATGCCTCCAGCATCTAAGCTATCATCATTATAGAAACACTCTCTTCTCCACGTATTATGAGCTCATACTCTAACATTTCCTACTGGAGGTTACTCTTTTTGGTACTATGGCTGAGCAATCCTTCAAGACCAAAAATCTCTTAACTGAATCCTACCTTCCTTTCACTGTTGTCCCTGCTCCTGTTATCCTCACTTTTTTTCCCAACCTTAAATTCTATAGCCAATTGTTAAAATACTGCTTTGCACATGCACCTTGCTCCTGACTTACTCACATTTATTTGGCTAAACCATGAGCTTGGAAACCACAACTCTAGCTAGTCTGTCTGATGACAGTACTGAGATAAAAGGTGCGTGTCACCACTGCCTGGCCTGAAAGACTGACCAGTGGACATTTTTACTACACAAACAGAGTAATTGTTAGAATAAAAAAAGGCTAAAGACAAGACCAAAAGATCTCACTGGGGTGAGACCTAGGCCTCTTGGAGTCCCTGGCTGACCTCCCCAGTGACTGACCAGTGGGACATTTTTAGTCTCTGATCTTCAAGCAAGCTTTATTTATTAAAATACAAATGAAATATCACTACAATAAAATGTATACATGGGGTTAGTTTTCATTAATATGAGAAGAGAATTACACACATTTGACTGCTAGGAGTAAATGATGTCGTGAACTGATGCTGTAGCTCTGCAGAAGTGTACTTGCCTACCTTGAAAACTGCCCTGGGTTAAGTCAAGAATTCAGAAGTAGAAATGGAAGAAGAGAAAGAATGTAGAAAAGGGAATAGAAGGCAAAGGAGAAGGAAAGAAGGACAGGAAGATGGAGAGGATGAAAACGATGCAAATCATGTTCTGGCTACAGTGATTAGTTCTCTAATAGGAAAATGCTCAAAACTAGATCAGTGATATTCCTGCACAAGAATATTCTGCACCGGCTATTGGGAAAAGATAAAAAGTTCACTAAGTTAATAAATCTGCAGCTAAGTCTAAAAATGGAAGCTGTACCATATGGCATTTAGTAGGTGCACTAAGACTGACAAACAGCTCAGACAATACCATGTAAAGTATTCCACACATCATTCAACTATGTCTGAAACTAACCTACCTACAATTTCTTTTATGGAAATCAGTAATCATTTATTCTTTTACAAGTTTCTGTTGCTTAAAAATGTAAGAATTTTAACTGATATCAAAAGTCCAATGGTTTTCATGAGCATTGTACTTGTGCCCATTTATGTGGTTCATGGTTCACCAGGAACAGACTACAAAGTCAGGAACAGACTCTGAAACACAGTTCATTTTCATGTGCTTAATGCAAGGTTAGTTTCTATACTTTAACTCAAGGCTTAGTACTACCAGATTAATTATAAGAGCAAATTTGATGCCCACAGATAATTTCTCTTCTTCGTCTCCAATTTCCTTTATATTGAAATTCCATTGCTGAAACAGAGTTATAATCTTCTCAGTATATTCAATTCTAAACTCTCGCCTGTAAAACATAATAATGAATGTTACATTACCTATCAAGATAAAGAGAATATTCAAAGAGAAATTAAATTCCTATATTATGTACTATAAAAGGAATGATATAATAGCAAAGTAAATATTCTTGTGGGAAATCAAAAAATAAAATTAGGTTTGTGTTGATTCTAAAACCATTTTTCCTAACAAAAAGTTGCTCTCATATGCCTGTCTTATTGAATAAGGACATATGAGATACTTATGTATGTTTATATATGATATCACATATATGATTATAAATGTACAAATTTTAGAAAAAATAATTAAGTTTTTAAAAACCTGTTTTGGCATGACCAAGACTACAAGGGAATGATTACATCTCTTAAATACATAAATTACTTACAATATTAAATTGACTTTCTCCTACCTTGACAAGCATATCTATAAAAAAAATGAAGTTTCTATGACATCTACCTTTTACTGCCTCCCAGAACAAACGGAAATGAGTTTTTGACAATAACTCTCAACTGTTATTTAAGAAGAGAAAAAGCATGATCCTCACAGGCTTCCCAGAAACATATCTTAATTCAGAAAGTCAGCTCGGAGAAAAAGTAAATCAAAATTTTTGATAGACTCCACTTAATGGAGTAATTAGCACCAACATTTACTATAAAATCATAAAAATGTGGCTCTAAAGAAATGAAGAGTCTTACGCTTCATCTTCATGAAATTTCAAATATTGCTTGATGTTCCTCTTACAGTCTTTGACAACACCTTTAATATACGAATCCATTCTCTTTTTCTTTTCATCAACAGTATCGCTAAGGTCAGCTACATTGAAAAAAAATAAAAATTTAATGTTGAAGAAAATGATATTGCTCTCATAGATGCAGGGAGACAAAGCTACAGATATAATTCATTCAACAACAACAAAGACATTTAAGAAATAGTACCAACAAAAACCTCACGCATTTCACATTTTGTAGCATTCAAGATTTTCACTTTTTATACAAGTATTACAAAGTAAAATAAAATCTTAATATTGGAAACATTTCTGTTCTTGGACATTGTAAATTGAAATGCCTAACATTACTACAATTATAGTCTTCCTGTTGGAGATAATTCTTAAATTTGGAGTTCCTAAGAAAAACTAATAAACAAAACAATAGAACAAGAAGAGACTTTAATTTTTCCTCAAGGGAAAAAAATTATAAGTATCAACTTTTTTTTTAAAGAGTACTCTCCAGTTGAAAGGATACTTGACTGCATTACTGTTAGAACTCATTATATGGCTGAGAGGTGGTGGCGCACGACTATAATCCCAGCACTCGGGAGGCAGAGGCAGCTGAATCCCTGAGTTCAAAGCCAGCATGGTCTATAAAGAGAGCTCCAGGACAGTCGGGGCTATACAGAAAAACCCTATTTTGGACAAAAACAAAACAAAACAAAAACAATAGAACTCGTTATATGTTTTATAAAACAAAAAAGTAAATGCCATTAAACAGCTAAAATCCAGGCTGGAGTCACACACCTTTTATACCAGCACTTGGGAAGCAGATGCAGGCAGATATTTCAGTTCAATGCTAGCTTGGTCTACATAGTGAGTTCCAGACCAACTAGGGATACTTAGTGAAACCCTGTCTCAAAGTATTCTTAATTTAGGTCAAATTTTTACAAACTGAAGGCCAGCATTAAAAAAGGGTAATTAAATGAAGTGACAAAGATTATATGTAATGGTACATTGAAATTTACTTTTTACAAATAGAAAAGACCAAAGATTGAAATAAATCTTAATTTAATAATTATCAAGAATATTTTAGATACTTTTGTGAAGCTTTGCTTTTTTGGAGATAGGGTTTCTCTGTGTAACAGCTCTGGTTATCCTGGAACTTACTTTGTAGACCATTCTGGCCTCAACCTCATAGAGACCTGCCTATCTCGGTCTCCTCAGTGCTGGGAGTAAAAGTGTTTGCATCACAGACTGCCATTTGTGAAACTTTTTATAGGACGTTGAAGAAGGACGCTTAAAAGAAATCCCACCCTAGCTCAGAATTGAGAATAATACAGGGTTATTTATTTAGGGGTAGACTCACAAGTCACAATCCTCTGCTGGAAGGGGAACAGCAACCGAATCCCACAGCCAGAAAAGATGCTGGACACGCGCTTTACATCGGCATAAATAGTGTAAGAGGCCACACCCAAGTGAGTGGGTAACTTAAAGGCTACTGGGAGTAAGAATTCCTAAAGCAGAACATTTTTATAGTTTCTAAAATTTTAATACCATAATCACCTTTCACTACCTATGATGAAACTAATAGTCTATGCTTTCAGTATCTACAATAAATTTAGGAAGCTACTCTGATACTGCCCAACTGTGGAAATCCTCCAAAAAAAGACCTGACAGTATAAAGAATTCCTAAAAAGGAAGACCATGTTAACTTTTCTTAAAGAATATTGTCTCCTAACCTAGACGAGGTACCTCAATTGTATAACTATAGCACCAAGTTGGCAGTCAGGAGATCTCCCATTTAAAGATAAAGGTGGCCTAAATAGAAATTTTCAAGCCAGAATGATTCACATAGTGAGACCCTGTCTCAGAAACAAACAACTTGGTGTGTGTGTGTGTACAAATATGCATATCTCACAACAATTAAAATAAAAAACACACATCACAAGATTTTTAAAAAAAGAGGTCATGAATTTCAAATAGAGCAGGGCTGGCATACACTGTATGGTTTGGAAAGAGGAAAGGGAAGTGAGAAAGGGCATAATTTATTATAATCTCAAAAGAGTTATTACATAAGAAATCAAATAAACATGAGTACTGTCTCGTATAAATCTCATGAAATTGATAATTAAAAGACAATTTAAAACTTAATGTCTTTATTACATCTGATTAAAGATCTCTCACAGGCCAGTAAAATTGCCTTTCATTTTTGATGCATAACTTATTGTTAAAAATGATAATAGGCAGCTGGACAGTGGTGGTGCATGCCTTTAATCCCAGAACTCAGTAGGCAGAGTCAGATGGATATGAGTTCAAGGCTAGTCTGGTCTACAAAGTGACTTCCAGGTCAGTCAGTGTTATAAGGAGAAATCTTGTCTTGAAAATCCTCAAAATTGAAATGTGCAGGACTATTCTGGACTTGGTGTGTTAAATATACAAATCATAAAAAGAGACTGAGATAGGCAGAGGCAGGTGGATGCTTATGAGTTTGAGGCCAACCTTATCTACATAGTGAAATTCAGGACAGTCAAGGCTATGTAGTGTTTGCAAGGTAAGCTCACCAGAAACCTCCATATAGACACTATTATAGCTTCCTAGTTGGAAGTCTTTATTGCCAGCCAGCAGATACATTGAGAACTTGTTCAGATAATGCAGCCCTAAGCCTTACAGTTCTCAGCCTTTTATGCACAGAAATCACATCCTGGTTGACAGATTTCACTTAGCGAGAAATGGAACTGCAGAAGCAAAAATGCAGGGTTAATACCCGCATGGATTTTTTTCCCCCAAGAGACTTCCCAGACACATCTAGGAACCAAGAACTTAACAGCCTTTGTGACTGTTCTGGCAGATGGGCTGGGTAGTTTTATGTCAACTTGGCACAATTTAAATTCATCTGAAAGGAAGTAACTACAATTAAAGAAATGCCTGTATAAGGATGTAGGCAAGCCTATAGGCTGTTTTCTAGATTAGTGATTGATGAGGAAGGGCCCTGACTGCACACCTGGACACATGCTCCTGGGTTCTCTAAGAAAGCAGGCTGAGCAAACCAAGATGAGCAAGCTAGTAAGCGTTCGTGGCATCTGTATCAGCTCCTGCCTCCAGGTTCCTGTCCTATTGAGTTCCTGTCCTGACTGCCTTCAGGAAAGAACAGTGCTGTGGACATCTAAGTCCAGTAAATCTTTCTTCCACAATTTGCTTTGACCATGGTGTTTCATCACAATAGCAACCCCGACTAAAACAGTGGGAATTTCTGCCAACTTTCTGGCTTCTATCATATTGTATTATGGTCTGGGGCCTATTTAAGTCTAGAGGTCTACTAAGTTTTAGGTGTCTGTTACAGTACAGACAGTTTCCAAAAAAAAAAATAGTAAGCTGGAAGGGAGAAAGGAATCCAGGAGGATTCCTAGAGAATAGAGTAAATGAAACACCAGTATACATAAAGATGTGTATTTATAAAACTGGGAATCCAAAAGAATCATAAAAAAATTTTCTCATTCATTTTATTTTTCATAATGTCATTTATGTCACACATATACAAAATAACCACTTTTAATTTTCCTATCAAGAAAAAGGTTAAGAAAAGCTTTGAGCTATGAAAAAATATTTGTGCAAATTCCTTCTATGAAGAATAAAGTATTAACAATCCTATAACATATTAATACTATATAGTTTAATCCTATAACATGTCACTATATATTTCAACCCTATAACACTAACACTATATACTTTAATCCTGTAACACACTAACACTATATAACTTAATCCTATAACATACTAACACTATATTTTATATTTTTTCAAATACATTATTTTAACACTATATAGTTTTAAACAATTTTCTCTATACACAAATACATTGAAACTGTACCTCCAATTTTTTCCATCTTTTTCTTTAATTCAGATCTGTAAAGAAAGTACATTAAAACATTACAACTGAGGTTTATTTTAGGGGTCAAGCATTACTCCCATGCACAAAGCATTAACAAAGCCAAGCCTTTTAATTAAGTGTGCATTTATAATATAAATTGCTTGGTTTCAAGGAAATATCACACATTAAATAATGCATCCAGTAGTTATTAAATTAGCAAAGTAAAATTTTCCTATTCTTTTTTGCTTTTATTTTAAAAGTAGGAGCTCTGTTAGCCCAAAATGATCACTGAAGTAGTTATGTAGCAGAGAATGTTACTGAACTTCTTACCTTCCTGCCTCCACCTCCCCAGTGATGAAATTACAGGTATGAAAATCATTATTGAACAGGCAAAAATATTTATCATATTACCCTTCATCATCACCCTTTCTTGTTGGAACCCATGTCTTCTCAGGATTACCAAATACTGGAACTTGTCCTGCATTTAACAAGAAGAATAAAAGACTTATTTTTATTGAAAACAAAAATAAATTAAATATGCTATTTTTGTTAATATTAATTAAATAGTAATTTATTTATAGTTTTCTTCAGGCATTTTTCCAACATAATATTTTAAAGCAGAAATAAAAATAAAATATTACTCTGAAAGTTAGATGAAATAAAATCATAAGTTATTACCATTTTCTAAGAAGATTATTCAAGCCCTTCTAGTTTAATACTACTGTAAGTTATTTACAATTTATTGATGTATGTGCACCGTTCAAACAATGTACTATATGTATTTCTCAACCTTTAATACAGACTTGTGAAGATTGAGTAAACAAAGTATATGAAAACACTAATCTTTTATTATATTTCAGGCAGCTGTGTAAAAATCAAATGAACTGGGCAGGCAAGACGACTCAGGAGGAAAGGGTACAGAGCTTACTGTCAAACCTGAAAGCCACATGACTCATCCCTGAGACAGCCATGGTGGGAAAAAAGACCCAACTCCTCTAAATTGTCTTCTGACAAACCCCCTTTCTCAACACACACAAACAAACTGAACTACGGGAACAATCAAACTTAGAACTGGTGTATGGTACCTGAAGGAGTAGAGTACATTGAGCTGTCCAGTCCATCATCTATTTCTATCACCTCCTGTACTTCCTCTTTTTCATTATCAATATCGTAGTGATAGATTGCTATGTGCTCGTGGTTTGCCATCAGTGGCTTCACAGATTTCTCAGACGGCCTTTTTCAGGAAAAGAAAAAATATATTTTAATGCTTTGTCATTTAAAATAGAAAAGGAAATTCTCACCTGAATCTAAAACAACCAACTTAAATAAATCAATAAAATGTAAACTATCCAAAAAGAATGAAATTAGTTAAACAAAGTTACCAGTTTCCATATATTATTAAATAAGAAGTTAACAATCTGTAATTTCTGAATTAAAAAAAAAAAGATGGTTGGAGAGACGACTCAGTAGTTAAGAGTACACACTGTTCCTGCAGAGGACCATAGCTTGTTTCTCAACACTCACATCAGGGGGTCCCCAACTTCATGTAACACCAGCTCTAGGAGGGTCTAACACCTCAGACCTCCACCTAAATCTATATTCATAGTTGAAAATTAAAAATCGTTTTATGGTTTTGAGACAGGGTTTCTATGTGTGACCGACCTGGCTGTACTGGAACTCACTGTGTAAACCAGACTGGCACTGAACTCACAGAGATCCGTCTGCCTCTGCCTCCCTAGCGCTGGAACTAAAGGTGTGTGATGCTGAAAGCACAGCCTAGAGCAAATTAAAATCTTAAAAAGAAAAAAAATAATGATGGCTTTTGCCCTGACTCCAAATGTATTTGTACTTAACCCCTGGGGTATCTAAGTTTTGATTCTATCACTGTCAAATTCTTAAAATTTTTGAACAGATCTTTAAGGCAGTATCTGACCCCAAATGAACCCCTGGCTGCTATCACTATAGATTACAGGCATGCCTCAAATCTGTTGATAGCAAAGTTAAATTCAGCATAGTTGGGGGTGTAGTTTGGGAGTACAGGGTATGTTTACCATGCAATAAGGCCTGGATTCAACTGTCAAAACTGTCCCCCCAATAACCCAGACATGGTGACTCAGGTCTCTCTTTGATCAGAACATTCCATCTGGACCAGGCTGAAAATGCCTAGCTGAAGTCTAGTCCAAGCCACATTGAGAGGTGCTGATCATTCTGCCTTACAATGAGAACCTGTCTCAAAAATATTTGACCAACAAAACCAACAAAATGTAACACACAAACATACAAAGATGGCTGTGCTTATACATTGTTAGAATCCCAGTACTCAAATGGTTGAAGCAGGAATGTTAGGAGGCCATCTCCAGAATCAGAGCAATATGTCTTATAAACCACTGCCCCAAATGGGGCTCAAAAAACAGCTCAGCAGTTACAAGCTCTTGGCCAGTTGTTTTAAACGGGAATTCAATTGTCAAAACCCAGCAGTCAGCATCCAGCTACCAAACTCACAACTGCCTGGCACTCAAACTCCACCTAATCTAATTACCTCTCTGCAGACACATACACATACACATAAATATAATTTTTTTTTAATTCAGTCTGGTCCTTGGAAAAGTAATGTCCATACAGTCTATACAAAACTTAAGGTGAGTTTCTAAAGGGTTCAGGCCTGGCCTCAGGGAAAGTACAGAGGTAAATTCCCTGTCCCTTGATGTACCAGATTACAGACAACATGCCTTCAGCCACACCTCGGTGCCCCCACCACGGCCTCTCACCTCCCCTATAGGCTCCCTATTTGCTCGGAGTTGCCATCTCTGTAAAGGCAGCAGAGACCTCCCAATCCTCTAAGCATTCTTTCCTTCTATCTAGGCTTTAGTCTGCTTGAGGCCCAGTACTCAGTAAGGAACCTCCGTTTTCCTGTCAGCGGCCTCAGTGAGATTTGCCACCTCCTCCATTTTACTGTCAGAGAGACCTCGACAAGATTCACGCCTCCTCCATTTTACTATCAGAGGCCCGACGAGGTTCACACCTCCTCCATTTTACTGCCTGAGGCCCAGACGAGGTTGGTACCTCCTCCATTTTACTATCAGAGACCCCTACGATGTTCACACCTCCTCCACTTTACTATCAGAGGCCCTGACGAAGTTTGCTCCTCCTTCATTTTACTATCAGAGGCCCCAAAGAGATTCACACCTCCTCCATTTTACTATCAGAGGCCCTGACGAGGTTCACACTTCCTCCACTTTACTATCAGAGGCCCCAACGAGATTCGCACCTCCTCCATTTTACTATCAGAGGTCCTGACGAGGTTCACACCTCCTCCACTTTACTATCAGAGGCCCCAACGAGGTTCGTACCTCCTCCATTCTACTATCAGAGGCCCCGTAATGCCGATGGGTGATTTGCCGTACAAGTAAAATGGCGCGTGGGACCCAAGCCTCCCTCTACGGGACACACTCCCCGCTTCCTTATAATCCTTCACTCTCACACTCCTTCCTCCTCACACTCATCCCTTCCTCCTGCCTGAACTAACCCCACTTTGGCTGAACCAGGCTTACCAGTGTGCCAACAAGTGGCTGCCCTTCACAACACTGACGTCCTACTCCCCCGAAGCTTCTTCAGCAAAATGACTGCTGGAGCGAAAGAGAAAGACAGTCTCACCGGACTCCTGGTTGGCTGAATGCTCTGCGCATGTGCGTTTGATATTGCGTATGGACACTGGTGCGCATGTGCATTTGATATTGCGCATGGGCACCAGCGCGCACAGGCGGCACTGTGTGTGCGTGGCACCCAGCCCCAGCAATAGGTAGCTGAAAAGCTTTACTGGTTTTCCCTTCAAAACCCTCCCACGAACTGCTGAGCTGCTAGGAGAGCTGAGATATCTTGCCATCCAGTTTATTAAGTTTATAGTAGGGTTGCCCTTGCAGAGGACCAGAAGTCAGTTCCCAGAACAAAGATGTTTTTTTGTTGTTGTTCTTTTGTTTGTATTTTTTTTCCTAGTCTCATGTATCTGTACAGACAGAGACACATACATACACATATATGAAAATAAAATATTTTTTAGTATTTTGAAGTACAAGAAAATGAATCAAATATGAAAAATATGCACCCCTCTCTTGTGAACCAGCACTTTGCTAGTATTTACCGAAACACTTTTATACTAACACATCCCTGAATCTTCCATACTGCACCTGTTTCACCCATGCCTGTCTGTTAGTCCTCATTGAGAAGAAGCCTTCTCAAGAAACATATTCTCCAGAAAAAGTCTGTATTTGTTTCATTAGGATCACTGGTTAGCTCTGTCCTGCCAACTGCTCCTGCATAACTACATGAAGACTTCTTACTAATTATGAAAGCTCATCCAATAATTGCTTAGACTTGTTTTTAACTTAAATGAACCCATTTCTACTAACCTATGTTAGTAGTACTGCCCCGATATTCATTTACCCCTTTTATGTACTTTCTAAGCTGCTTCTTCCACACCTGCCTGGTGACTCCTGAGACTCCACCTTTCTTCTTCCCTATGAGTACTCCTACTCTTCCTCTCCCACCATATCTCGTCCTGCCCAGCTATAGGCAAGTCATCTTTCTTATTAACAATAAAAGTAATACATATTTGCACTGTACAAAGATTGTGCCACAGCATTTCCTGCCTTTTTGTCTAATTAAAAAAGAAGGTTTCGCCAGACTGCAATGGTGCAGGTCTTTAATCTCAGCACTCAGGAGGCAGAGATAGATGGATCTATGTGAGTGCCAGGACATGCTCCAAAGCTACACAAGGAAACCCCATCTTGGGAAAAAAAATGTGACTGAACTATCATCATAATTTCCTGCTTCATGGAAAAGTCTTCTGTATATTATGGGCCTGTAGGTTGAAGATGAATGCCCCAACGGTACAGAAAAACTTTGGGTGACTGTCCAGGCAGCAAAATGTCTCTGTCAATTCTAGAATTTTGGAAGTTGCAGGGAACTTTACCTGGTAAGCCACTGCTACATAGCGATGCACAGATAAATAGGAATGGGTTAAATTAAGATGTAAGAATTAGTCAATAAGAAACTAGAGCTAATGGGCCAAGCAGTGATTTAATTAATACAATTTTTGTGTGGTTATTTTGGGGCTAGCTAGCCAGGCAGCTGGGATGAACAAGCAGCCCCTCTCTGCGGCACATGCCAATACACAGATTAATAGAAATGGATTAATTTAAGATGTAAGAGTTAGTTAATAACACACCTGAGCTAATGTGTGCCAACTACATCCACATAAAACCTGAGAGAATTTGAACAGGAATTCTAGATATAAGAGAACAGATTTAAGCACAACTTCTTAGTAGCTGTATTTTCTTTAGATATGCTCTGTTTTCTAAAAGCAAGCAGAGGCATAATTCCTTTAAGAGAAGGCTTCCCAACTCAGCAGGAACAACAAAAACTACATGACTTCTTTAAGAGAGGGCTTCCTGGTTTGTTCTGACAGCAAGAACTCTGGCTCTTTCAGGAGGTCCTGTAATTAAATGAGGTTTGTGTGTTGTGTGCTACTAGTTGCTCAATGACAACATAGACCCACTATGACACTGGAGCTGGTACAGAAAGCTGGTGGTGGATATACCTCTGCCATGTTGGACTGGGAAGAGCTGAAAGGCAAGGCATCCTTAGTCCTAACCAAACTCAATTAGTTTGTTGTCTTTTTTGTTGTTGTTGTTGTTTAAAAACAGGTGTTCCTGGTCAGAAAATGATTACTAGTAGGCAATAAAGACAGATTAAGAAAAAAAGACCTCTTAGTGGGTCACAGTGTTGTATAAATGTATGTAGGCTTGGGAGAGAGAAAAAAAGAGTACAGATAGTTATAAAAGATAGTTTTTTAAAAATAAAACAAAGCCTTTAAAGAAAAAAGGTGTAGACAGTCATACATTAAAGTCATACATATAGGAAAAATAAGCCACATAAAGATGGAAAATACACTGAGAGTCTGAATTATGTATACTATTGTGTTTTCTTTGAATTTTTTGACTGTGAATAGGCTAAGTACAGAGAGACATTTCATTGTATAGGCTGATAAGCTAAATCAACATATACATTTTAAGGGTATCTTGACTTCAAAATTTGGGTCTAAGGATATGTTGCTTTGGAAAAGAGGTTGCTTTTGCTTCCTCAGAGGATAGAAAGCTGTTGATTCCTTACTGGCTAATATGGTTTGATCAAACAGGAACCCCTGAAGTAAAGGCTCAGATGATTCAACATCCATGACAGTTTCAGGACTGCTGGTTGAGATGGACCTACCACACAGGATACCCCAGGAAAGACCTGATTAACAGCATCCTCAATCAGCAGGAAGTAGTCTAGAGAACAACACCCAAATTCCCTAAATGATTGTTTGTAAATGTGTGTTTACATTCAAAGAGGTATACGCTACAGATATGAAAACTTTGCTTTTCCTTTTTTTGGGGGGCTTAAATTCCTCCATCTCAGCCGGGGTGGGCACCACGGCCCGGGGCAGGCGGTGAGTGCAAAGGGACGGGAGTCCCTTTGTGCTGATAGCCGGCCTGCAGCAAGCTAAGACCGCAGGCAGCGAGTCTTCTGACCAGCGAGGGGCTCTGATCCTGTGGAGGGGTGAGTGTGTTGACTGCCATACAAGTCCGGTTAGGTACACACGGTATTCCCGCCATCCTTATCTCCCTGGCTTCTCCAAAGGGGCAGCTTCCCCCAGCTAATCCCTCTCTCCCGCTATGCCATCCCAGCTTTTGGCCTCGAACCCCTCCCGTCCTCTCTCCCTTTTTCGGGGCTTAAATTCCTCCATCTCAGCCGGGGTGGGCACCGCGGGTCGGGACAGGTGGTGAGTGCAAAGGGAAGGAAGTCCCTTTGTTCTAATAGCCTGCCTGCAGCGAGCTAAGACTGCAGGCAAAGTGATTCCTGGATAGCAAGGGACACTAATCCAGTAGAAGAAGACCCAGCGGAGGGAAGAGCCATTGGAGAGCATCTGAAGGAAGAGATGGGCAGGCGCCAAGGCAAAAATTCCTCCAACAATCTGAAAAACAACATGAAAACACCAGATCCCAGCGATCTTACGACAGAAGGAATTGAACGCCCTATTCCGGAAGAAGTGGAAAACAGTGTCATTATGAAAACAATAGAGTCTCTTAAACAGGGTATGAATAACTCACTTAAAGAAATAGAAGACAAATATAACAAAAAGATGGAAGAAATGAGTAAAGAAATGGAAGACAAATATCACAAAAAGGTTGAAGAAATGAGTAAATTCGTAAATGATACCCTGGGAAACCAAGAAAAAGCAATCAAACAGGTAATGAAATCAGTTCAAGAATTGAAAACTGAAATGGAGGCAGTGAGGAAAACACAATCCGAGGGCCGGCTGGATATGGAAAACCTAGGTAAACAAACGGAGACTACAGAATCAAGCTTAACCAATAGAATACAAGAGATAGAAGAACGAATCTCAGATTATGAAGACACCATAGAGAAAATAAACGCCCTGACCAAAGAAAACAGCAAATCCAACAAATTCTCATCACAAAACATTCAGGAAATATGGGACATAATAAAAAAATCAAATCTAAGAATAATAGGAGTAGAAGAAGGAGAAGAATTGCAGATCAAAGGTCCAGAAGATATATTCAACAAAATTATAGAAGAAAACTTTCCCATCCTAAAGAGGGATATTCCTATGAAGGTGCAAGAAGCATACAGAACACCGAATAGATTGGATCAGAAAAAAACATCCCCTCGCCATATAATAATCAAAACACAAAGCAGTCAGATTAAAGAAAGGATATTAAGAGCTGCAAAGGAAAAAGGTCAAGTAACCTATAAAGGTAAACCTATCAGACTTACACCAGACTTCTCTATAGAAACCATGAAAGCCAGAAGGTCCTGGATAGAGGTACTGCAGAAATTAAGGGACCATGGATGCAAGCCCAGACTACTTTACCCAGCCAAGCTATCGTTCACTATCAACGGAGAAAACAAAATATTCCAGGATAAAAACAAATTTAAACAATACGTAACTACTAATCCAGCCTTACAGAGAATACTAGAAGGAAAATTACATCCCAAAAAATCCAACATTGCCAACACTGACTACAATAATTCAGACATCTAGCGACCCTTCACTAGCACAATTCAAAGAAGGAAAACACATACACTATATTACCCCCCCAAAAAAATGACTGGAGTCAACAACCAATGGTCATTAATATCTCTTAATATCAACGGACTCAATTCACCTATAAAGAGGCACAGACTTAGAGATTGGTTACGAAAACAGGATCCAACATTCTGCTGTTTACAAGAAACACACCTCAACCACAAAGACAGACACCTACTCAGAGTAAAAGGTTGGGAAAAGGTTTTCCAAGCAAATGGACCTAAGAAACAAGCGGGTGTGGCCATTCTAATATCTAACAAAATCGACTTCAAACTAAAATCAATCAGAAGAGATGGAGATGGACATTTCATACTCATACCAGGAACAACTCATCAGGAAGAAGTCTCAATTCTGAATATCTATGCCCCTAATGTAAAGGCACCCACATATATAAAAGAAACTCTTCTAGAACTCAAGGCAGTCATCAAACCACACACACTAATAGTAGGAGACTTCAACACTCCTCTCTCACCAATGGACAGGTCAATCAGACAGAAACCAAACA